GAGAGAGAGAGAGAGAGAGAGAGAGAGAGAGAGAGAGAGAGAGAGAGAAAGCGCACTCCTCCTCTGCCGCCCATTGGCCGCCGGTGAGAGAGCACTTCCTGGTAGCCTCTCGGCCCTCGTCCGCAACCAGCCGCAGGCCACAAGCCTCGGTTTCTGCGAGCTGTAGCCTCTAACGTCACGCTACTCCAGGCTCGACCTCCCGCCGACAGCGTAATTGTTTAGAAACCCCTTGATCTGTAATTTCAGCGCGCCCGACTATCCTCCCTGCACGCGCGAAACATCGCTAACACGATGCCACCGCCACCACACAGTCTGCTCTCTCGCTGTCTCCCCCTTCTCGCCGAACGTGCACGCTACTTGATAACTCTCGCGCGTGCATAACGCGTGCTTTGCACGCTCCACTCTGCGGGAGTTTGTTTCGCGAGATTGGACGAGGTATGCCGAGGAATCAGATGCGATGCACTCGGGAAAGTGGTCCAGGATTGGGAATCTTGGAATAAGTGACAATGGTAGAAATAACGAAATGGATTCGACGAAAGGGATTCGACGCCGATTATTGTACTCTATTGTAATTAGATGTTAAATTTCAATCTGTGCAAATATATCACTGTCCCTTTTTAATAATTTTGCATAATTTTTTAAAAGTTAAAAGATTGAAGAATACTGCCTGCAAATATATAATGTAAGTGAGAATTTACAAAAAAATTTTGAAAGCGTTACGCTAAATAATTTTTTGTGCGCAACACTATCATAGCAACAATATTATTAAATATTAAAAAAATTGGATATCATACAGAAGAGTATAGAGGTCCAGTATTAAATTTTTACACTTGAGAGTGAAATAAAATATGTACATGAATTACAAAAATTTTCCATTATCACACGTTTTCGCTGCTCTCTCTTTCTCTCTTTCCCTTTCTCTCTGTCTCTCGAATTTTTTTTAAATAAAACAGTAAAACCAGAGTAGGAGAGTACATTTCTAGCAACGACAGATTTATTCTACAGGTGGTCTGAAATTTAGGCGAATTTTGGTGAAATATATTTTCCGAGGGAAGATCTGACAGGAGAGAGAGGAGGAGGGTTCCTGTCCGACCAGAGCGTGACATCAAATTCTTTCTGACGGAAATAGTTTCTCAGAGTACACGGGAAACTTCACCCTCGTCCCTCTCATTGGAAAATGTGTACGACGTGTGACTTTTACTCAAGTCAACCGCATGTTACATACGACATACACTTCACATCCACCGTTCTCTCAGGTTCATGAAATTCTTTAGAAAGTCACGTATGCGCGGTCGTTGGAGCAAATTCACAGGAATGCGACTGTTTAACTTTTAAACTCCTAAATTGTTCATAATTTAAAATTGCATTCTATGCATTCTGTGCAAATTTATAGCTTCAAATTTTGTAATGACTATGTACAGT